GCAATTTATTAATGTTACGGTTAGTTTAATGTTCTCTCGACATTTCATAAAAATGTTACATAATAAATGTTATTTAAATCTTGCAAACATTTCAAAGTATTTTAAGGTTATCGTAAGGATGATAAATCGTTATTCAGAATTTATCCGTCTATCTCCTCAAGAAAATTGATGACGTCATCTCAAAATTTTGCTCCTTTATCTTTACTTTAACACCACACACATACCTTTACTTTAACTTATAGGAATCCATATTTTATTATTAGTATTACACTGCACCTGTGGGAATTGACATACGTGTTCTTTCTGAAATCTTGATCAGAACATTTTGAAATGGCAAAACTCACTAGAAACACGCTTATCAATCCATTCATATTTTTGGAGCAATTGTAATCCATTTCCTGTCATGGATGGAGAAGTGCAACCGCGCTAGACCAATATAAACAAGTTAACAGAGTGTTTTCGTAACATAATACGTTCGTTTGAAAAGTAGTAGAGAAGTGTGGGTGATTAAAATATGATACATTGATGCCTTCAAAGAAACAAGCTCTACAAGAATCTCTAAAAAAAGTGGCAATTTGTCCGATGGACTCGATTACTTACTCTCGGGAAGTGTTTAATTGATTTATTTGATGGATATTTTGTACTAACATAATTTAATTTTACCCTGTACAATCTTTTTTTAATGACAAAATATTAATAAAAAATTAAAAATATTTTACTAATTTTCGCTAGAGCAGATTATACATGGTTTTGGATAGTGTCACTTATTCTAAAACACGGTAGTAAGCTCAGATTTTTTACAAAGAAAAAGTTTGAGATCAGTTCCTGTCATCTTGTCTAACAATAAAAATACAGTTGTCAAAGTTTGGATTCTAAATTTGGGAACAAAATAAAAAATTAGTCAAGAAGACGGGGAAGACCACAACCATTAACTTTATTTTCCACTAACAAAAATACAACATTTTTCTTCTCTTTTAGACAAATCTGATGTAAAATGTACAGAGAAACCAAAAATTGCAAAAAACCGACCCAATCTACAAAAGAAAGAGGCAACAAAACTGACATTATTGCCACGAAATTCCGGTGGGACCGGCCGGAATCTCGGCGATAACGTGTGATGGCGGCGTACCTCGGTGCCAAGCCTTGGGCCGACTAGTGCCGCTGATATAGAATAAAATAAAACGGCTAAAAATATTTTAAACAATAAATCGGGTTTATTCCCTGCCACCGGCTACGGCTAAAATAATAAATCTCACGGCAATGACTCCGGCACGATCTTTCGGGGTCCTGAACGGCGACTTCCTTCAAGACGAGCTTCTCCTGGACCTGGGGGAGGCGACCTCGAAACCTTTAAATCGCGCGATCCGGGAGGGGAGCGCAGTGGCGGTACACGACGCGTGCTCGACGGTTTCAACTTTTGCCAGTAACGAAGAAAAGGTGGCGGTGGTACAGTTTTTCTGACCCAAGACGGTTTTCATTGCGTTCTCTAAATGTTTACGAGTATAATAAATATCGACGACACAGACAACAAATGACGGGGGGCCTATTTTTCATACTCTTGGGGTCATAAAACGTCGAGAAAACATGAAAGTAACCACTCGTCATATTACACTACTTATTCTATTTTAATAATACATCTAATTTATCGTGTTTTTTTTAATTTGTTTAATTTTTAGTGGCATTGTGTCACCAAATTACCCAGGTCGACTTTTAGAAGATGAAACTTATGTTGCCTATAATCTTGAGTTTTGCCAACGTAAATTGTACGTTGTATTTCCAATTTTCGACAAGAATCAGTCTTTTTTAGGATAACATTTTTATTTGAGACGAATCAAAACTATCCAGGTGTATTCTGCCACAGAAACAGAATATTCATCACAAAATGTTCTCCAAAGACCATAAGAAAATCATGTTTGAGTCTTATTTCCGTAACGACCAGCAAGTGAATGATGAATGGGTGTATAAACCCTGACCCTGTTAGGTGATAAAACAATTATTTCGTGAGAGTGGTAGGTAGCATTAAGAAAAAATCAAGAAATCGTATATCACAAAAACGAACTCCCGAGGCTGTGGAAAATGTCCGACAGGTTATGAATGATAACCGTCATACATCTTTAAGAAGGCTTTCGCACCAAATGGACTTGTATTCAACTTGTCAGAAAATTATAAAAAATGAGCTGATGTTTCCCTACAAAATGCACGTGGTTCAAGAACTTAAACCACCTGATTGTGAAAATACAATGATTTATTGCAATTGGTTTATTTAAACAATGAACAATGATCTCGATATAACATTTTCTAATGTTGAAGGCCGGTTTCATCTATCAGGGTATGCAAGCTCGCAAAATTTGAGAATGTGGAGTGGACATAATCGTCATTATTTTGAAGAAACGTCATTACGTAACAAAAAATTGAAATTTGGTGTGTCATTTCTCGAAGACGATTATTTGGACCCATTTTTTCGAGAAGCCACTTATAGCTGCGAGATGTCAGAACATGCTGCAGGAATTTAATGACCAGCTGGATCCTGAAGAATAATTATTTTCAAGATGACGATGCAACAACTCATACAGCTCAAACAAGACTAAACTTTCTAAAAGAATTTTATGACCACCTCGATCACCTGATTTGACACCTTTAGATTATTTCTTGTTCCCAAATTTAAAAAACACTATTTTTAACGACCTAAAAGTGAGGATTATGCAAGAGTGTGAAAATGTTTCACCGGAAGTTCGTCCTCGAGTATTTGGGAATATGAAACACCAAATCAATTTATGTAGGTATCCAAGCTGGGGCCTAACACTTCCACCAGTTGTTGTATAAATATAATTAATATGTTACTTATCATAAATAAATTATTTTAAATCCAATGATGGTTTAATTCTTGCTGACATAACATAATCTAACTTTCTAAGTTCAACCATAGACAACCCATATTCAGGTTATGTTGTGAAACTGTGAATTCACTACAAAATAATCTACATTTTTAAGGAAAGACACAGTGTAATGTACTCAAATAATTTTATTTAAAATATTTTAATATTATAAAATAAAAAGCAGTGTTAGTTTAATACGAGACAAGAAATGGCATTATGAAAAAAAACATAAATAATGAATAGAGATGACAAATGTAACATCATCACGTCTATCACCGAGTGATAATAACCGTGTCGGGTAATACACATAAGTGCCGGAACTGGATGAGATTTGTACGTCGATAATGCTATGACTATGATGATGTCACATTTGTCATTATTTCTGCTTCTATTATCACATTGGACAAACTTTTATGCCGCTATCAGTCAAATAATGGTGAGTTCATCACACTAAAACACCACGATGGAACAATATAATATTAATATTTGTCACCATTGTTTCCACTAGACACAATAACGGGGAAAAGACCGATCTGATTTAACGTTGACTTGAACTAATGGTACAATTTTCTGAAAAACACTGTCAACGTCTTAGTTTCATATCTGGAGACAATTTAGAGTGCTCTAATTTATACTGCTGCGCAATTTTAGAAACAAAGTTATCGTCAATTTAGGGATTTTTTTTTAATTTCTGAAAATATTTATTCCAGTTAATATTTTTTAATTTCACTGCATACTTTGAGAAAATTACTCACCTATTTAATGAATTACTTGGAAATTTCCTGATTACTTGAAATGGAAATTATACCTATATGCAGTTCTGGAAACCATCAGTCCTTCGTTGAAAATTAAATTTGATATTATTATTCAAGTTACATCAACTGCCCATTTTGAAAAAATATCTCATGCTTACATAATTGACGTACCTATACCTTTGATATTTCCCCAAAGTCCATAAAAAACTTTTTAACTGTATTAGCTTGAAATTAAATTTTTTCTTTCACTCAGTAAAAATAACAGATTCTGTTTGGATTCCCTTTTATATAATCATTCATTTCATGGATGTTCTTTATTTCATTAAACCGGCTGAACGAAACACCCAAGAGATGCTCGTACAAAACGATAACTTTCAGTCAACTTTACATATTTCAGAGGAAAGATATAAGTTCGTACTAGCCAATCAACTTAGTTTCATTCAAGTAAATCTGTAACCCCCAATCCATTAATATAGCAGTAATAACGTATTCCTAAACAGCTTCGCAAATCAAAGTTGTCAATCAAGTTATAATTATACCGAATTCTACAAACTAATCACAGATATCCATTAATCCAGCGAAGCGAAACATTTTGTATTCAGGGTAACGATCAGCTGATATGTGGAATCCTAAATAACATCACAAACGGGAATAAATATTTTAGGTCCTGTCTACTTTGATATCAGTAGTCCGTAAAATATGTTGGTAAGTAAGTACTCTGATCTTAATTTTTAATATATGCTTGTTACATAACTTAATTTAATTTAATTTAATTCTATTTATTTTACTTAAAATGGACTATGTGGGTGGTTTGTTCACTGTTATCGTTATCAAAATTATATATAGTCCCCTATTAGAACCACCGATAGGGTGTGAAGCCTTTTTACGTTAGTCCACTAAATTTTAACCCCAAGGAACTTTATATCTTTCATCAAATTTAAGGGTTTTTTTGACCTCAAGTACCTTTTTTAAATCCCATAATTAATTCTATACTTGTTACCACCTTGACCACACAACATTTAATTCCATAAGAAATTTACATAATAAAATCATTTGTTGGCTTGCATACTATAATAATTGTATTTTTTATAATAATACTGAAAAAAATTAAACAATTATTTACTAACACACAAGCGTGACAACATTTCACCACCTACCTCAACGCGGTTATTCACGCCACAGTTCATGTGGAATCAGCTTTTTCATCAAATTAACATTATTACCTCGAAGCTGAGTCACATTGCGTGCTTTATAAAACTTGCATTTAGTATTGCGACTCCACCACATTTCACACGTCGAAGAAAAAGCTAATAATTTATTAATAAGCATGATTCATCCAATCGAGGACCACCCGTCAAACGTTCCGACAATGACAAATTTCCGACACGTCACAAAAATTTCCCGCCAGTTTTGTTCAAAACCTCCTCACAAACATATTCAAGTATGCATCCTAGGGGCAGACTCGCCTTTAGGGCAACCTTTGTCCTTTCTGGTCAAACAAAACCCAACGATATCGGGGTTACATATTCAAGGCACCAACAGGGTGGAATCCATGGGTTTCGATCTGAACCATTTCGACACTAGGTGCAAGGTACGATGGTACTACGACATGGACAGCGTGAACAACTCGGTTAAAGTAAGAAATCGTAAGACAATTTGCACTAAATTATTCCGATTAACTTCAGGGCGCTGATATTGTTGTTATGACAGGACTTAACACCGCTACGAGTAAAATGTCTTTAGCCAAACTCGTTATGGCCGAAGGAGTTCGAGTGTCAAAGTTAGCAGAAGCTTGTTCTAGATATGCCCCAAAAGCGCTTATTCTAGTTGCTGTAGATCCAATTTCCGTGACGTTACCCATAGTTGCCGAAGTTTATAGACAGACGGACTGGTACCATCCTGGGAGGTTACTTGGGTCTGCTGCGTTACCACAAATTAAAGCGAATGCACTGGCTGGGCATTATCAAACTTTGGATCCGCAGATGGTGCATGTGCCGATAATAGGGGGACCTGATTTAGATTGTGCGATTCCACTTTTCACTCAAACGCTTCCAGTGGAAATTTCGCAACCAGATTCCGACAGATTGCTTGAGCTGTTTAGAAAAGAAACGCCGCATCCTGTTATGAGCCATGCGGTAGGAATTAATAGAATGTTAACGGAAATTGCGAGAGGGATAAATGGTGATTTTAACGCAAATATACTGGCTTTTGTTAGAACGAAAACCATTAGTACATGCAGGTTAGTGGTGCATAAGTTAGCAGCTGTCTCCATTTTTTTCTGTATTCTATTCAGGTTCATTTAGAACTCTTGACTGATGACGTATCTATAGCCCAGAGGTTCAGTTTTTTGAAAATTATTGTAATGATTACTAAAACCTGGTATTAATGTTCTTCAACGCAAATACTGAAACACGTACTTAAGCATTTTTCGAGATTAAATCCCTAAGGTGTGAAGAGTGGTGGCAACGTTTGGGTAGCTAAGTTTGTATGGGAACAATATTTCTATTGTAAATTTAAATTTTTAGTTAAAACTTGGGATGAATGCTCTTCAACACAAATAATGAAACCCCTTATTTAAGCATTTTCTCAACTTCAACCCCTAAGGGGGAAAAGTGGAGGCTAAATTTGTATGGGAAAAATATTTCTATTGTAAATTTAAATTTTTACGTGAAACTTGGTTTTAATTGCCTTCAACACAAGTAATGAAACACGTATTTCAGTATTTTTCGAGGTTCAAGCCCTAAGGGCATAAAAAGGGAGGCGGCTAGGCTAAGTTTGTATAGGACAAATATTTTTATGGTGATGTTTACTTAAAACTTGGGATTAATGCTCTTCAACACAAATAATGAAACACGTATTTAAGCATTTTCCTAAACTTAACCCCTAAGGGGGGAAAGTGGTGGCTAAATTTGTATGGGAAAAATATTTATATTGTAAATCTTTTACGTGGAATTTAATATTAATGCATAAAAGAACACGTAATTAAGCATTTTCCGAGATTCAGCCCTGAAGGGGGTGAAAAGTGGTAGCTAAGTTTGGAAGGGAAAAATATTTCTATTGTAAATTTTTACGTGGAACTTGGTATTAATATTCCTCACCACAAATAATGAAACACGTATTTCAAATTTTTTCGAGATTCCACCCCTAAGAAGATGAAAGGGGTGACAAAGTTTGTATGAAGAAAAATATTTGTATGGCCATTTTTACTTGAAATTTTGTATCAATGCTTTTCAACACATTTTTTACTTGGTAATAATGTTCTGCAACACAACGAATCGTCTACTCGAGCGAAGCTGTGAACAAAAAGCTAAAAAATGAATTCAAAACAACAATAGTCAGCAATTTTAGATAAGATGAAAAATAAACAAATCATTTTCATTGTACCGGCTCAATAATTATTGTTTTATTTATTTTTGCTTTACAAAAGTACATTAATACGAAGTAGAAATTTTATGTAAAAATCTCATTTTGGTATAAAATGAAACACAGTAGAAGAATAAATCCTTATTCGTGTTTTTTTCATTTTTACTTCCCGAGAAAGTATTGTAATAGGTGCATCCAATGAATAGCTACTTTCAGGTTTTCTCGACTTCTCGTGACCCCTAGAGTACAGCAAAGTGGCTCTCGCGTTTTCGTCTGTCTGTGTCAATTTTTATTAGTCAGATAATCTCCGAAACTAGGAATGTTGTTAAATATTATATGTATCAAAATTTATCTGATCATCCTCACCGATGACGTACATAGCCTCAACATTTTTTCAGAATTTTTTTATAATAAGGAACTGTTCTACTTGTGGTTTATGAATCCGCCTTGGATTTTTTCTCTACAGATCCAAATTTTCGCAAATATTCCAAATTGTATATTAGCTTTTATGCTAGTATCAACGGCACTAGAATTATTATGTAAATGACACAGCAAGAACCTCACCGACTTGTAACGCGAAGAGAGCGGGCCTTTTTTTATTTTCTGAACCAGTTATTATTTATATTTTTTCAGTTTATAGGCGTTATCACAAAAAATACAATTTTATATTTTTTGAAAAACCGGCATTTGTTCAACTGTATTACAGGATCGAGGGGTGTTTTGTCTAAATAACATTGGGCCAATTTTTTTTATTAAAAATAAAGGAATTATTATTATCGTATGAATTCTACTCTTTTTGGTACAAATTCTTCGTTGGCCATTAAGTCACAAAATGTTCCTTTTCTAATTATATAACTTCCTATGTACTGAGGATTGATAAGTTATTCCATTTCTGAGACATTGGGAGTAGTTATTTTAAAATCAACACTCAGTATATTAGTAAAATTACATTTTTACTTTCCAAGCATTAGCGTTAATTTCACATTTTTTCGACATTTCATTACTCCTAGCATTTGTAAAAGTAGGTCCTTCGTTTCGTCTCTCTCATGTGTCCGTTGAAGATTTTATTATCAAGTAATCTTCGACACTAGTAAATAGACTACAATGGCGCATTTTAGAATTAGCAAGTAGTTGCTACTCAAATTTTTATGCTCATCTGCGTCAAGAAGTTGATGACATTTCAAAATTTTTGCTAAATAAATCCTGCTTAAAATGGGAAAAATATTTTGTTTCTATACTTGTAATTTATTATTACACCCTTATTTTCCACCACCACATGTAAATTTTTGGCTGAAATTTAACATACTAAATTTAACTTAATTCTTTATTCTGTGATTAAATCAGTAAACCTTACAAATGCAACAAATCTAAAATGTTTATTTTCCATTAAATTTGCTCGAATTACGAAAATACGCCTGTACTAAAAAGACTTTTTGCTGCAAAATGTAGACTATTTTGAATTTTGAAAATAAACTTATTCCAAAGTTTATTTTGACCCTAAACTGAAAACGTTTTTCTTAATGCAGCATTCGATTTTGCAGTTTCAAGTTTTTTTCCAAAAATCTGGATGTCTAGGATAAGAACTCCAGACGGATTCATAAATCCCAAGTCTAGAAGCATGTTATTTTATAAAATTAAAATCTCATTCGTTATAACATTTTGAGCTGACGTCATCACATTCTCGGTGGGGATGATGAGGACAAATTTTGTTAGCGTTTTAGAATCTATCTATACGATATTCCTACAAAAAAAGTCGAGAACCATGAAAAAAGAATTCAGGAGAGAAGCATTCTTGAGAACGAAAACGAAAAAATCCAAGAAAAGAAGGACAAAGCAAGAACAATAGACACAGAGTTTGATATAGCTGAAGTCAAAAGAACCGAAAAAAACACATCTACTAGAAGAAGACCAATATTAATAAAACTGACAACAAGACGAAAAAAAAATAGATTATAAACAACTAAAGGAAACATATGTGGATTAATGATGAACTTACAAAAGAGATAAAGGAATCAAGAACACAGCTGTCACGATACTTGAGAGAAGCAGGTGCAGAAGGACTTGAGGTACAAGTAAGATACAACAAACTAGATCATGACAATGATTAAGAAGAAAATAGAATGATTCCAAGTACAATTGAAAGCAAAGCATTTAAAAGGACTATAAATAAAAGATCATCGGAAGGAGCCTGATAAATACGTGAAGCAAAATATAAAATCAACACGCACATAGTTAGTAGTTTCGAAGATTATCTGTCAAGTAAAAATCGACAGACAAATAGACGACAGGCTGACGGAAACGAAATGACCCTATTACCTTTACCCCTTAGCTTACGCCCTGGATGTAAAAATCATTAGAGATTTTTTAATTTTATTAACTTCAAAAAAGTAACTAAAATATGAGATTCAGCAGTATTACTTAATAACAAAACTTAATGAAACAAATAGTGAAGAAACTTCCATCTCTTGATTTAAAAGTTAACACATTACTTGATTTGATTTTTCAAGTCTTTCACTGCAATGTGCAGCCTTCTTTTTCAGTATTTCCAATAAAAGAAGTTACACTTTGTACAGTGTGGAAATCTGAGAAACCAACTAACTAAATCTGCACTATCCTTAGTGATGGAATGGAAATTATAGGCAGATTATTTGGTGTCCCACAGAATTTCTGGATCATACACCCCTTGACTTTATTTGCATCTTTATTTAAAAGAAAGAGTAGATTTGTGTATCATCAGAAGTTGTCTCTTGTGATTTCTGCACCCAACGGGCAGGAAAATACTTAGAAAACCTTCAAATTTTAGCCAAAATAAAATTTTTATCAAAGTTTATCACTCCTGAGCTATATTCCGACTTGTTTTGACAATTCTGAACATCTTGATACAAAAAGGAGACGGTTCAAAAGCTTCAGAAATGTAACTTCTCAATCTTTCTGTTGTAATTTCTACCGTTTCTTGCACCCTACGGACCAGAAAATACCTAGGAAACCCGCAAATTTTAGCCAAAATAGTCATTTACATCACAAGTGTCAAAAATAGCAAATATCCCACGAGTGCGATATTTGCTACTTTCGCACGAGTTATGTACGCTATTTTTCCCACGACCACGGCACAGCGCATTTTTTTACTAAATACTATTATTATTTTGCCAAACCAATTATATTTTTTTTTTTTTGCATTTGTCAGAGTATAATTTCAAATTTTGTTGCTTAGCCGCTTCCACAACCTCTGGTGGAGTGCATTCCATAGAAGAATCACTCACTATATTCTATCATACGCGTAGGTTAAAGCCAAATTTCGTGGCATCTTGATTGTGTGAAATTGTCAACTTTTGATAGTGGTCGTGGCAAAATAAAATTTTTATCAAAATTTATTATTTCCGAGTTATATTTCGACTTGTTTTGACGATTCTGAACGTCTCGATACACTTGCGATATATTGAATCGTCTTAAATATTTTGCGGAAAGAAAAGGATGAATATATTAAAAAATATATAGAGTGCATCTTTTTAAAAGTGGCTATAGAGATTCCCATGTTTAATTTAATCATGAAACACCTTTATTGTTTTTTTTTTTGAAATTGCGTTTTTAATGTCCAGGATTGAGACGAAATCTGGCACAAAATTTTTGAATCGCGCTTTTTCCGGGTATGGGACGCTGTGGAAATGGTGCAGCAAAATTTTCCGCAACTTCTCTCATGGCTAAGCCTTTTAAACTACCCAGTGACAATTTCTACTTTTTCTTTAATTGTGTACTGCTGCATGTGGACGAATTTCGGCCAGTAAAAACCAGTATAATCAAACGAGTAATCAAATTTTAGAAACGTCAAGTAAATGTCTTCAAAGTGTTTCTAAAGATATTTGGAAACAGAGTTAAATAATTTTATTGCACTCTCAGCGGGATATAAATGCCCCTACCATAAATCTTTCTAAGCCCCGCGCCGTTGTTGGTCAGAATTCTGCACTTCATGGCATGCGGGCCAGAATCAGTGAAATTTGTAGGGCTTATTTCGTAAACGTATTACAATTATATTATCAATAGGTAAAGTAGTCCAAGAGCTATAAGGTTACATGACCATCATAAAAGTAGTTGACCCCTTTGTGTGATTCGCACGAAGCTTACCGGTTGGTAATAAATCGTCTTCAAAACATTTCTTGGTTAGATTTAGATGTTTAGTGAAAGCCGCCCCTAAACGAAATGACAACAGCCGGTCGAGTTTCAGTGGACCCGTTATTTACGACTCAACTTAACTTCGACACAATGTGATAACTTTATGATGGCCATACAACCTTATAGCTCTTGGACTACTATACTTAATCTTTCTAAAAAATATATAAAGACGGTTCTGGAAACCAACCCCGATAAAGCAGGTTACTCGGGTACTTTTATGGGGATTAAGCTCAACAGCCGGCAGTTGAAAATTAACCAGGGACTAATGACACTCATAAAATGATTAACGCTGTTTCCAAATATCTTTAGAAATACTTTATATGGCTGGTGATAAAAATACCCAATTGATTTATTTATTTTTTTAAATAGCCTTTAATTTAAAGCATAACCTTTAATAAAATCTAATCCAGTAAAAATTTCGACTCTGAATCTTGACTCAAACATAAGTTAACATGAGGTATAAAAATTTTTTGCATCAGGTTAAGGATAAATTTTCAAATTATTTAATCTGGAGTGTACAAGTCACATTTGAGTTAGTAGTTCCATAAATATATACAGGGTGTCTCAGAAATAAGTACATTAATTTTAACCAGTAACAGAACTCGTGAAACGGAACAACTTTTTTATCTAGCATTTTTTCGAAAACTCAAGTCCAATTTCGAATTTTCCCACCCATATATTCACGAGCCGTCTATGTTTACCTTAAATAATAACTTAAATAACAGCAACACTACAACAATGAAGAAGGTGCCGTAGCAACCGTTTTGACACTGACAATCATTTTTATGTCAATGTTTTTATTAAACGTCGTCTCTTTAAAGTTTGCTTGGCACAGATTTCTAATTTATAGACGAAATGTGTTGAAACGGCTTTGTTTTAAAATCTGGAATGCACCGATATCGTTTTAACGTACGGTGAAGCTCCGGGAAACGGCACTCGCGCCCAACGAATTTTTTCAGAAAACCTCCCAAAGCGTCTGCCAAATGTGCACAGTTTTAAGAACGTTGCAGCATTTTCGAGAGTACGGATCTTTTAAACCGGCACCTCAGGATGAGGGTAAGTTACGTAGTAATAGAATTGCTAACATTGAAAAGGCTGTTTTGAAGAGTGTCGAAGCTCGACCGGGCACTAGCACGTATCACTGTCTAGTGTGATGTATCGGAGAGTAGTATTTGGAGGATACTCAGAGAACGAATGTACCCCTTTCAGGACCAGAAAGTTCAGTTATTGAAACTAACAAACTTACCACGTAGACAAAACTTTTGTGAGTGGGTTCATAGAAAAATAAACGAACAAGCAAATTTTGTATCTCTTATACCATCAACTGATGAGGTCGGTTACACGAGGGAAGGTGTTCAACACCCACTTTTGGGCCGATGAAATTCCGTACGCCATTAGGGATTACGATTTTCAATTTCTCTCTAAATGTTTGTCACATTGACAAGATTAGGAAAATACGTATCCTAGTAGTTGTTTTTGACCATAAATTATTAATTATAATAATTATTAGTGTCCATGGGTGACTGAGGATCCATGGGCGGGTAACCTTAATTGGGATAAAACTTTAACAATTTTTAACTTGATAATTAAAAAGTTCTTGACAAAACTCTACTAAAAAAAGTTGTTGAGTTCAATGAGCTCTATAACTGATTAAAATTAATGTACTTATTTCTGAGACACCCTGTATATATATGATTAACAAATTGAATCACTAGGTTATTTGTCCCCACTAAAATATTAATGAGGTCGTCACCAAATTTTATTAAAATATCTTACTTGCTATGTACAACAAAACTTTATAATATTTCTGAAAACCTAGACTTGTTTGTTCATATTTCAGAAGCGAGACAAGTTCTGTATAAATATTCAATTTTAATCAGCTTTAAATATATCTATTAATAGATCTAAATTAAAATTTTGTTTTTTTAATACGACTTAAACGACAACATTTTTCCTAATAACTGACTGCTTTCCAGCCACCTCGTCTGCACCGTAAAAGTGGGCAAAAACGGCATAACCCACAACTACGGCCTCCAGAAACTCCAGCGCCAAGAGCTGTTGCTTTTCGAAGAAATAAGTCTGCAGCTAAAGGCCCGCGAAGAAATGGCGTCCGAGCTCGTCAACCGCGAAGACAAATGCGCTCTGCCCTCTTTCATGATCGAGGAAATGGAACAAGAAAAAATGGAAGAACAAGGTATCATCCGGTGAAAAAATGTCGTGCCCGTTCCATAAATAAAGTCTCTTCCACCTGCAATCGCTTAATTCCGTAAGTGCGTCTGGCAAATCCCGCCAGTCCTTCATGAATGAGTAACTGCTGGCAAGATCCCGACACGATGAAAAATTAAGGTCGAACGTGGTGTTAACTTGGGCGCTATAAATTCCGGCCGGTCTCACGAGATGTACACGTTCCTGTGCAAAAAAAAATATGTACGGTGAGATTGAGCGTACTTACGATTTTGTTGTTGAGGTGCTGGAGTTCGCGCTCGGTTAGCCGACGTTTGGCGTTTTCCTTCCGTCGACGCTTGTATTGGTTGTATTTGTAGAAGAGGTACATGCCGGGAAGGGCCAACACCACGAAGGGCTTCATGAGGGGACTTGACATTGGCCCTTGAGGCATTTTGTTTAGTTATCTGTAAATTAAAAATTTCAGCAATGAAAACTGATTTTAAAGTAACAGAAACAAAAAAACTTAAGAAAGACAAGTTACGGATTATACAGAGTTACTCAAATGAATTTCAGTCAAAAAGCCCTTTAGAAAAGTAAACTGTTTGTCTTTATTTACACCATATTGTTGTTTTAAATATTTTGCTTATTAGTTTGCTGTTGAGTTGGTTGCCTAAAAGTTTCAAAAATTGTTCAAATGTCTTCCACCATGTTGTGAGCAGATGCGATTTTTTTTTTATATTTTAAAAAAACATTAATTAAACGTTGATGTGATATAGACTGAAAATCTTCAATAACAGTATTCTTATGTGATTGTTGGGCCGTAACACCATCTTGCCGAAAATATCCTCGCTACAGTTGTTCATCATCCAGTAGCCCTATAAACAATATTTCCATTTTTTTTTTTCAAAATTCTTTAACAATTGTAAAAACTAACGTCAACTGTCTGATCTAAACGTCGTAACGAAAACGACAGGTACGAACATATTAGACATTGCACTCAAGACCTAGCTTTTTTGTGGAAGTTGTGCTAATATTTTTAAATTTGTTTTATCATTAATTTTGTCAAAACCAATTAATCAAACAAATTTTCATTCATATAAACACATTATAATCTTTACTTTTCCCTGAAAATTGTCATCATGAATCTGCCGCTCAATCAATCTTTATCTTTTAACAGTTATTTGTGTAGCTAATGCACGAGAATGAAATTTTGTGAAGGGGCGCTAATCGAGTTAAAAATCATTCGAGAGCAGTAAAAACGTTTCGCAAACGAAGTTGCACACAAAATTTATATTGATTTACTAATGACAGTTTGTTCTCGTCAGTGGGTGTGTAACGTGAATTTTCATTCTTCGTTTACTTGATAAGCACTCCTCGACAAATTACGACGTTCTGCACTTTATAGCGTGGAACAGATGTGTGAAAAATACATAGATGCTATAAAAATGTGTCCAGAAGTGCAGACGAAACTATAAAATGCCGAGTGTCTATAAACTTCCCGCATCACTATTATGCAGTACTTAATTGCTAACAAAAATAAATATACATGATAATTGTAAAATAGCACTAGATGCTTTTGAGAGGTTGAAAAACAATCAGTTTTATTATAATTCAAAAAATAGTCGGTGCCTGTGGAATTCAAAGAAAATTAATAACTATGAAAAAATAGAGGATGCTAATCTTCGACGCTCTGGGAGGGCTACATGGCCGTATTGAGTTAGAAATACTAATAGCGTTAGGTAATTAGTTAATTAGTCGGCCACAATATTTATCTAGTTCGAAACCAGATTAATCAAGAACAGTTACGTGCATGACAAGATACAGGTCTCAGAAGACGTTATTAGGGAATATGATGAAATTTCGATTTTAACAGAAACCTCAAAGCAGTACGACAAAATTAAATTAAAAGTTAATAACTCCCTTTCAGAGTTGTTATGAAACGTGAAAATAAAGGCATCGTAGAGGTGGGCGGTGAACAATTTTTGGAGACGTTTCATAATACATTATTTGACGACGAGTATATGCAGGAAATATTGGGTTCCAACATATATTTCTCAGGGGGTCAAATCCAGACCATCGGAGGCACATCAAAAATATTACTCAATACTTTAAATTGAGTAGTCCTAAGATGTACACGAGACATTGTTTCCCACGTACATTGGCAGCTTACAAATGCTAGTATCGATTTGTTGCCGTTGAAGCTCCATGAATGGAAAAGTTAATCAGTGTCTAAAAAATATCTCGAAGAGTCTGTAGAAGGAATAATGACTAGAATAATTAAGGAAGGGAATGAACATTTTGTAGAGATTCTGAAACGAAGGAAACCGAAAAACTGCACTATTACTTCTGTTCTGGAAAATTAAATCCTACATCGTAAATATTCACGACAGTAAGTTCTTTTTTTTAATGCACATGCGTGTATTATATGTTTTTAACAAAATTCTTCAAAAACGGTACAGAATGGTAATTTATTACAATTTTTGGAAAGCAAGTTTTCCAGTTCCGTACTCTAGGTTGGTTTTTACTGTATAGCCTGCCTGATGAGTGATGATGTTAATATGGCGTTTTTGATTCTTACGTACATACAAGGTTATCCATTATAAAGATGAATTTAACAGATTATGAGAAATGACAAAATTGCTACCTAATCGCAACTATATCTAACGATAATGTAGATAATGTAAGTCGATCATGCAGAAATTTTGGGACTTTATACGTGCTAAAAGTGGCGAAATACAAATACACGGTTTTCTCACGTTGGAAGGGATAGAACTCTCCCAGCCTTAAGATATTGCGTCAAATTTTACAAAATATTTTCAGAGTAGATATATGTATACATCACTTTCATCACTTTACTTTTGGTGGAAATTAGTTCCCACATTAAATAGCCCAGGACTGTCGTGGTATTTTAACTGAACTCTTAAGTTACTTATTTAACCGTCGCTGAAGGCTCAAATTTTTCCTAATGATTGGAAAAGACTACTGGTAATAGTAATATCAGAAATGATGTGACTTGTCAAAATAGCCCCGACAAAATGGCTGCGTCAACCCAACTTTTTAGTTTTTATTTATTCACAGAAATGTTTAAAATTTGTTTATTTGATACAATAGAGAGGTCAGGTCAGGTCAGGTTGAGTCAGGTCAGGTCGGGTCAGGTCAGGTCAGAACAGGTCCATCATTGAAAACAAGAAGAGAAAATGGATGGTTGACTGGATAGCATCAGAAAGACTAGTGGTCCAAAACATTACACAGGGAACCCCCATTTAGAAGAGGTAGCACGTTATCACGCATAGACGTGACTTTAACTGACGAAAAAGGGCACACCTAATGTCTGGATTGGAAGTATCGTCAGAGGAAAACCTGAGCGACCATCCGAATATAACATTCAATTTAGCATTAACACATCCTGATGCAGTCCGACTGACTAAGCGATTTTGGTGTTGGAAAATCGAAGAGAGAAATATCACAGATTTCTTGGCGAATTTTAAACAATTGATGAGGGTAGATACAGCTACCGACAGAGTTGCCGGTGTGGCGGACAAATTCACCTCATCTATTTATAGAAGAGAGTAATCTAACATTTAACAAATGATGGTCAGAAAGTACGCACCATATACCTAACTACTAATGGATTGAAGAAATTGCAAATTGCAGAAGAGAATATAGCACGAAGAAAATTTATTAGAACTAGAAGAAAGAACGATTTGGAAGAATAAAACAAGCTGGCACAGGACTGCCACGCAATCAAGAAAAAATTAAGAACAATCATCCAAAAGCGGGTGATCATGGGGGAAACAATTCCAGAGGACAAAGAACCGCACGTGGAAACAGGCCAGACAACTATTTCTCAACCGGGAAGCCCCTAGATGGACATTCGAAGATTTCGGAGATACACCAGCACAAGTATTCTCTTTCGGGCAAATTTCCTTCTCGGAGAGCAGGGTAAAGAAGAAAAAAGCCGCAGGACCTGACGGAGTGCCTCCGGAAATCATAGCCGCGATAACCAAGTGTGGCCCAGAGGCTATCAAAACAACGATTTATGTTCCGATAAAAACTGGCGTCTTCCTGAAAGATTTCCTTCTTCTTTGTAGACTGGGGAGCTTTCGTTGCCCACTCTAGATTTAGATTCATTCAAACAGTGTTAGTGAGAGAGGATGCAGATCTACAATATGTCGAAGTCACATGTGTTTGAAATTACTTGTGCCCAAAGGGCTAAACCTTACGTCGTCTGTATGAACTGGCATTGCCGACCCTCTACCCGGGTTTTTTATAACCCATTCGGAATGTTAAAGGGACAAGAATTGTTATTTTACTTCACGCGATTTCTCGAAATTATACATTTCATTTTCTTGGATAGTAACAAAGAAATTAACAATTTTATGCAAGTGAGGGATATAATATATATTGTATAATTTTTAAACTGCGTAAGGTGTAAGGAGATGGATGGTTTTTGTAACTTAAACATTATTTAAAGTTACTAGATTCTCATTGGGATTTTTAAAATAGTAATTGGCAAGATTCACGATTTAATGTTTTCCTTTGAAAATTATCAGTGAAGTAAATATCTTCGTGAATGCGAAGAGGGAAAGGACATTTTATGCTAATTTTGTGTTATGTCTTATGTGTTCCATGACTCCAATTTTGGAACGTTTTTGTTTTACTCGGACATACCTCTCAAAGCGACGTGCGTACCGATTGATATGTTTGTGTTTTTGAAGATATTTACCATGTGTTGTTTTTCTATAATTTTGTGTCGTTAACTCAAGGTCGCTCTTCCACTCTTGCGATTCACATACGATAAAACTGAGGCAGTACTGCTCTGCAAAAGAAGGAAGATGACTGATTTTAAATTCCATGTTGGAACGGTTGTTACGCAGAAAACGCTGCACTACTTGGGAATAACGTTTGACCCAGACTTTAGGATTATAGAGCACGTCAATAAAATGACAAAGAAGGTGGAAAAACAGTAAACAAGCTGGACAAGCTGATGTCAAACATCGGGGGTGCTAGGGTTTCACGAAGGGTGAGCGTAAACACAATGATTAAGTCAATGATGCTATTTGGATGCCCAGTTTAGCCAAAAGCTGTAAAACATGAGAGGTACAAGGATGATAAGGTAAGAAGGGTCCAGAAAAGAATGCCACTCAGAGTCTGCTCGGCATACCGTACGGTAGCCAAACATGCGGCATTGGCAATAGCATCAATGCCGCCTATCGGGCTATTAATACTGGAAAGAACAGAGGTGTACCGTACAAGGGGATAAAAGAAAGAAGCCTTAAGAGACGAACTATACCATAAATGGCAAACCCAGTGGCAAGGATATGAAGGATGGACCAACACGTTTATTTAGAACATAAAGGCATGGAACCGTTAATGAGAAGAAACAGACTATTACACAACGCAGACACACACGAAAGATAGAATATTTGGGAGGTATGTGTACAAAATAGGGAAGAAAGAAAAT